GAAGGTGAGACGTCTCCCGAGAACAAGCAGACGGCAGAGCAGCGGGCCCCGGGACTTCCGTAGGCGACAAGATATATATATATATATATATATATATCAAAGCCCTAACCTTTAATCCAAAGCCATGCCTGAACAATAAGGGGAAGAAGCATCACCATCATCATCAACAACTGGTGGAAGTGGAGGAGGAGGAGGAGGTGTGGTGGTGGCACCACCAGCAGTACCGGACAAATTCAAATCGAATCCACCAAAAACCCTAGCTTCCTCCTTATCCCAGTGACACCTCATATGCCCACCCAATGCTTGACCACTTGAGAAAACCCTAGAACATATGTTGCATTTGTGGCCCCCATTATTGTTATTATCTTCTGAGTACCACTCTAATTCTTCTTCTCCTTCTTCTTGTTCCTGATGATGATCTCCTCCACCTGCAGCGGTTGAATTATTATTCCTGGTAATTGCATAACAGCCCTTGACATTCTTGTGGCTTGCCCTATGGCCCCCAAGAGCCTGGTGCGAACCAAACACTTTCTTGCAACTTGCGCACTCAAACCTCCCGCAATTCCCATCAACTATGTGCTGACCGGCCGAATCAGAATATTCCGGAGGAGGAGCGGCGGCGGAATGAGCCAGCATCAACAGACAAGCGGCCACTTCGTGATCCTCCTCGGTCAACAAAGAAGAAGAATACAAGTAGTCTCTTTCGTCGGAAATTGTTTCCGCCGCCGTGCGTCGGAAGTTGGGCGGGGGGTTAATCCCACGCCACTGGCGCTCGGGGTGGCAGCGCATGTGGCCGAAGAGGGCTTTCGATGACCAGAACTTTCGGCCGCACTCGGTGCAGGGGGGAGTTATTTTGGGGGCGGAGGGGTCAGGCTTTCTGGTGGGTTTAGTACTGTGTAGCCCGGCGGCGGTGGCGTCGATTCTGATGAACTTGGAGCGCTTCTTCTTGGTCTGGTGTCTGGGGTTGAAAATTAGGGTTGTTGGATGGAAAGGGGAGGAGCTACTACTAGGTTCTCCGATGACATGACCAGAAGACAACGTTGGAGGTCGGAAATCGGAGGGGATGCTGCTGCTGTGGTTGGTCTCCATTTCAAAACCTAGAAAAAAGTGTAAGAGAAAGAGAAATGGAAGAATGTGCTGTAAGTAGTCTACTTATCAAATGCGGCGTGGGGGCGGCGGTTATTCAGGGAAGAGAGAGTTTAATTTGCAGTAGTTGTATTTCAGTTATCAAACTCTATCCTTTTCAGTTTTCTGTGTCTCTCTCTCTCTCTATCAAATATAATTTATATATTATTAAGGGTCCATTTACTAATTACTCCCTCTAATTACTGGTGAGGCGGTTAATGGAGGAAGTGGGAACTATTACGTAATGCATTGGCATTGCCATTTGGCACGTGTTGAAATTCATCAAACAGCTGCTTACTTCCACTAACCCCGTTTCATCGTGTCATTTCATATCATATTCTTCTCCGCTTTATCAGCATTACAGTAATTTCAAGTGCAAGACTTGGTGAATAAGTTAACGAATATTCATGCTTTTTTTTTTGTGTGTAAAAAAAAGGGTGTTAATTGCTATAAAAAATAATCAGTTAGGTCCAAGTCCCGAGTTTTTATGTGTTAGTTGTAACAAATAATGTATCTCAATGGCAGAATAATTTTGGCCGTAATTCAAATTCAATTGTATGGACATGTCAAAATGTATCATCATCGAACCATTAATCTTTTCTCCAACTTGTAGTACCTCCTCAAAAACTACTGCCACAGCATATATATACATCATGATTCATGTGCATCAACAAATATGGAACTAGTAATAATACATACATATGTGCTTTGACAAATCAGTGTCTGGGCATCTCCAATGGAAAATAAATACCAACACATTTCCACAAAAGTAAATTAAAAGATTTTTTGTATACATTTTCTCATCTTAAAGAAACCCCATTCTTAATCCGAGCAAGTTTAAATAGACAGACAGACGACAGCCTTTAACATAGAGAAAGAACAAGCTAAGTGAATTAATGCACCACAATGTTTTATTATCACGCCGGTTGAGTTGATAGGTGAAGGCAGTCTAATGTACGTACGTTGTAAATATATAAATAAGGGCTCTTAATGACTAGTTTTTTTTTCTTTTATTTTTTTTTACTGTCAAGGGTTTCCTCCCAAGAGTCGTTCAACAGCTGCATGAACATTTCCTGATGTAGCTCTCAATGCTCTGATGTTCTCTTGTGTGTCAAAGAAACCCATCTCCCGCAGTTGTGACAGCTGAGTTGCATACAGTTCCTCTGGTGCCACTGCATCAACATACCAAACAAAGTTCCACACATTAATATTATATACTATCACACAAACCGGAATAATACTGTTTTTTAAAGAATAAAAGAAATTAGTTGCTAGAGTTTCAAGTTATAACCATTAGAAGCGTTTGGAACATTCAAACCGCCACCAGCTCCAAGTCCACCAAACATATTCATCAACATGCTCAATCCTGCATTATTTTGGGTACCTGCAAACATCAAAATATAGCAATGGGGAATGTGATGATGCCATAATCTAGGTTATTCAAACTAACAAGAAATCATAATGTATTTGTGTCGGATTAAATTTTCCCTTTTCTTTTTTATCTCCCACTTTATGTTGACTCATACCTCTTCCCTGACCAGTCTGAGATCCATCCCTGCAACAGCAGCAGATTAAGACAAAGGGTCATAAAATGCATTATAGATTCTAACAAATCGTAAAAAAGAGTTGCTGGGAATAATCTATCTATGTACCGAAAGTATAAATAGCAGTTCAAAGTCCGATGAAAGGGCATTTACAGATAGGTGGTCTAGAATATTGCACCAGAAAATGTATCATATTTAAAAATATAAATTTAAATATCAAGTAGGTTACTGCCATGTAAAATATTTACAATATCAAACGCATTCTCACTCACAGGGTTGGTTGCTGTCCACCAAGTTGCGAAAGTTGTTGCTGCAAAGCCATCATTTGCTGACAAAAAAAATTTGACAAGTTGGTAAGAAAAAGGTTAATGTATGTCATGGGTTTATATGATGTATTCAAAGAAAAAGGCATCCCTGAACAGTTAGGACTATTATAGTGCAAATCCTATGTTACCACAGCCATTTAATAAGCTGAAATGTGAATGGTGACATTAGCGATGTCTTAGCAAGTTCTAAAAACAGTCACTACTCAACAAGAGACACCGATATAAAAAAATTCCTGGATTGATTCTGGTGAATCAAGTCGTTTCTTATTCTGGAAATTGTTCATGATGTAACTGAATCATTAATTCTATGTAGAAAAATTCAAACTGTGGTGGTGTCAATATAATTGCCAATCATAGTGTAAAATTTCTGGCTTACACTACTCGCATGTCATATTACTAACAAATATTTCCGGGCAAGATATTTTTTTGTAAAGGCAGTTTTAATTGTCATATACTACAACAAATGTATAATATCCCGATGAGCATATTTGTATGTAAGAAAAAATACCTACACCATGCAGTTGTGGAATGACCCTCCTTAATATTGAGGCTCAATTGAAATAGATTAACATAAAAATCTGATAGATTTTCCAAGTAGGTCTTATCAACGCAAGAAACAACATTATGAAATAAGCTAACTCAGTAAATAGAGAATTTGGTTTGTAAAAAAATCATGATGCTACCACAGAAACACATATTTCAGAGAACTTGACAGAAAAAAGTAGACCTGCAGAGTGGGTACCTGCATAGTAGATGGTGAGGTCAACTCTCTAAGAATTTCTGGATTTTGCATCATTTCTCTTAATTGAGGATTCGAATCAAGCATGCTTCGATATTGAGGATTAAGGCCCATGATCTACGATGAAATTGTAATCTCAGTATAAAATATAGTCAAAGCAACAATACAAAATAAGTTACCCCTGCAATTTAACTATTACTTGTTCCATGTATTGAGGATCAGAAAGCAAGCTTTGCGTCATCTGTGCTATGGCTGGATTTTGCAATAACTGACTAAAAGCAGAGGAATCTGGCATGCCCATACGCTCTAATTCAGGAAGACCGAGTCCTCCTAATCCGGCAACAGATGGTATTCTTGCATCGCCAGTTGGGATAGATCTTGTAGCATTATTTGTTTGAGAACCTCCTAAATACCAGAAATGAACGGAAAGTGTTTCAGAACCAAAACGGATAAGAATTGAAAATGAGTTTCATAAATAACAAGACAAAGTTGCAAAAACTAGACTTCTTAAGAAAAATGAATCTAAAATGAGCATACATCAACTTGAAGGATTCAATTGTATAAATAAATAACCAGTCGCCTCTCTGGCGAGACTAAGACATTTTGTTCAGTATTAGCAGACCCCAGGACCAGAAAATGTAAAGGGGAGTATTAAGATGAATTTATCCAATACCTAACACCAAAAAAGGGGAATGGCAGATTGAAACAAAAAAAAAGAAAAAAATCACGAATTGCAATCAGAAGTTGGCCTTGATTATAAATGCATCTCGAAGAAACTAGTCAAAGAATAGAATATACAATTCTATAATTGGGCCACACATGAGAGTAAACAGTATGAAGCCTTTTAAACAGTTCTAATCTCACCAGTATTACCCCATGGGTTGGGAAGTGGATTACTGTTTGGGACAGTGGTCTCATTGGTCATTTCAGGTCCACCAGAAACATTAGATCCATCTCTGGTTTGGGTACCACCCTGATTTCCCAACAGAGCTGCAAATGGATTTGATCCTGCATCAGTGGCAGCGCCACCACCCATATTTGTTGCATTCAAAAGGGGTTCTTGGACATTTTCATACATACGCCTAAGCATGTTAAATCCTTCAGGAGAAGATTCAATGTTGCTCATTGCCCTGTCAGTGTTCCGCATCATCTCACGCATTAGCTCCGGGTTCCTTGTGGCTTCTAGTGTCTGGCGGAGGATGCTGGGATCATTTAGAATATGACCAAGTTCTGGGTTCCGTTCAATAACTTCACGCATCTGAGGATTACTCATAATCAAGCTACGCATGATCTCAGGATTGTTCATTAGGCTCTGAATCGCAGGCATGTTCATTATATCTCTCATCATGTTAGGGTTCTGAGTTAGTTGTTGCTGCATTTGATCAAACTCGGGAAGTCCAGCTCCAAATAGTCCAGACGCCCCAGCGCCACCAAGTGCTCCTAAATTGAAACCCGGAAATAGGGATGCACCTGCTCCAGCCACTCCAGGACTCCCACCTGGTGTAACAGCAGGGACACTGTTGGTGTTCCCAGCACTTGCAGGAGCAGCAGAAGGAGGAGTTGCCGCTGAAGTAAAACCACGAACCATGTGAACCGTGTGATCTGCCTGCAAACCTATTTAAGAAAAGAAAAAAACCATAATCAAAGGAAAGGAAGCTGAGGAAGGGAGTTTAACAATTATTTAGGACCATCGACAACTATGACACTTTCTCATACTGTAAGTTCCAAATTTACCAATATATACACTCACATAGTTGAACTCAAGTACAGAAACAATATAAAATAGACACTAAAAGAAGCAAAACTTTGAGCAAGAAAATTTAATCTACTAGTCTTGATCTCAAGTAGAAAGGCATGTTCATTGCAATGAGTTTCTAAAACCAACGGACCACAATTAATGAGAAAACAGCCCATGATCTTGCTAGTTATTACTACACAGCAATTATATCAATCCGTCATTGATGATGAATGCTGTGAATTTTAAATGAATCGTTAATAACAATTGCATCATTTGCATTCCATCAATAATTGTACAGGATAAAGAATCCTCAATAAGAAGATAGATGGACCAGATGATTATAAAGAGTAACCAATAAATATTCTTGTAAACTTTATACATAATGACTTCATGCGGTTGCAGATTCGAATGCCCGCTTGCTATGTGCAATGCAATAGAAGAGTCGATCACATTGACGCAGAAATTAAATGTACATTATAGCAAGGCTTAAAATTACATATGTCTTAACACTGAAATCTGATTTCGGTTCTTTATATATAGCTCTTCACATGGCAACACATTTAATGATACGTCTTATTTTGCCATCCTAATAGCACATGCAAACACATGAAATCAATAATATTAGATATTGCCTCATAAGAAGTGTCTTTACAACATAGCGAAATAATACTAACAACAATAACAATAAAAATAATGTTCATCTTACGTTGTTTACAGACGTGTCCAACAACATTGACAAGTATATACCAGAGAGGAGCCCTCGTAATTTGATATTGTTTTGACTTTTGATTACTCAAAGAAGTTAATGATTCTGTCCACGTAGTGTCTCAATCATACATGTGTTCTACGCGGATTAGAGAGAACATATATGGTATCAACTTATAGATGAAACATCACGCGATACATTTAAATGCTGCCACGTGGCACAAAAATTCAATTTCACAGTTTCCAGGAAAATCGAACGATCGCACATCCAAAAAATAACACATATTTTCTTAAAACAGACAAAATGATATGATATGATATCTATATGCTTCTTGTCAGTCTTTAGAGACACGAACGCAGAAATAGAAAATAACTTAACCATGTCGTTCAATTTTCTCCATGATTGCAGCCAACAGTCAGATTTATTTAATTGTCCAACTTACGGTACTTGATTTTTCTATAATGCTTTGAACAAAAAAGCAGTTTGCTAACTGCTATTAAAAGAAAACTTCTCCAGATTCCAGTGACATATACCAGCTAGTCGTTGTAAAAATAAGGGCAGATAACCAGATTAGAATCTGGTCAGCAAACAAAAAAGCACAAAGTATGCCCCAAGCATAGGAATCATCATAAACATTCAAAAACTTGCAGTATCAATTATTTCAGAGTCTTCGAGATAAAATAGACAATGCATTAGCAAAAAAATCCGAATTTTGAAACCCCACAAATAAACAGACGAAAAATCAAAAAAGAAAAGTTCAACGGCAAATAGTGTACCATAGCTGACTAGGGTTTGGTCGTCCTTGAGGATCCGGCCTTTGTAAATCAAGCGCTGCTGTTCAGCTGTGACATCGCAATTCTGCGCCAACAAACCTTTGAAATCCGCCACCGTCAATTCGAGGCTCGTATTGACGGAAAATTTAGAGCCGTTGGAGCATCGAATATTTACATTCACCGGCTCAGCCCCACCGAGATTCACGCTAGACTCACCTTCCGCACCCATTGATTATTATCTCGATAAATACAATCAATCAATCAAAAACCCTTGCCCTAGAGAATTGGTAAAGGGAAAAACAGATGCAGATTCTATACAAATTATGATGAATGATACAGGTTAATATAATATATTAGATATTACTTACTATACGGGAGGGGAGGAAGAATAATACAATTTAGTTTTACAGAAATTTTGAGGTAAGGTCAAAATGGGGAGTGAGAATACCGTATTGTCAGTCCTCTTCATCCTCGACATAACTTTTTATACAAGAAAAATTAAAATTAAAATTAAAATTAAAGAGTCGGTTGTTTTATTGCAACTCCCATTCTCTCTCCTACTTGTTTCCAGTAACAAATGGGACACCGCCACGTGGCCACCTCCTCCTTCAGGATAAAAATGTAATTTCATAGAAACAAACCATCTCACAAATTAACATCCGACTAATAAAGACCCGCCACCTCATCCACAATTGGTTCCCATGTCACTCGCGTGTGCTACACGATGTCTCGGGTTTTGGTGTATTGGATTTGAATTGTGATAATAATTAATGAATCGCATTATTTTGTTAATGAATATAATACCTATTGGGCCGATTCAATAGGTGAATTAATTATTGTTCTGTTAATTTGTGTTACCCCATTAAGCCCAAGTCATAACATATCTATTAGAAAATTACTTAATGGGCTTAATCTATTTAATATGGCCCATTAGAGCCAATACTCCGACTCAAGAGTTAGGCATTGTTTGATTGGTCCGAATGATCTCTGAATGGCAGCAGTTCCTGATTCGGTCAGCGTTTTTTGTGTTCAGCACGTTTGGTTTGGACATCTGAATCAAATGGTTAAGTGCTTAATGATTCAGTTTAAAACATATATCTTATTCAATCAGAGGACGAGCTGAATGGCTATTTGACTAATTTATCCTATAAAACAATTCACGCCACTATTCAGGGTTGAGGGGATGGTGTCGGTGGCGCTCGCCGTTGGGGGGGTTATGGCAGCGTGGGTGCGTGGCGTGGTGATGTTGGTGTCGCAGATCAAGGGTTTGGTGGAGGAGATCTACGGTTTGGTGGGGCGGATCTAAGATTTTTCGATTTCATGTCTATAGATGTCTATGAGTATCTATGGTGTCTATGGTGTATGACGGCTAGGGTTCGAAGGAGGAATTAGGGTTTTAAAAATACGTGACTACGGATTACTACAGTTTCTTACGCGTGTCTATATACATGACTACAGACTACTACGGTTTTCTATAGAAGACTACGGCCGAAAAAATTAAAAAAAAAATTATAATTTTCAATATTATATAGAAAAAAGGAAAATATACGAAAATGCAAAAAAAAAAAAATTGTTCCACGAAAAAAAATAATAACAAAAATGCTAGATGCGAAAAAAAATGATAAATACAGTTTAAATATTGCTAGGTGCATATTTATTTTTTGTATGTGGGGGCATTATTGGAATGAATTTTATAAAGGATGTGAAGCTAATGTTTAGTTAGACTTGTCATTTAGTTCTAATATATTTTCTCACCAGGGACGTATATCTTAAATCCCCTAAAATTAAAGATTAAACAGTCAATATAATATTTTGAGCATTATTGAAACATAACGCTTTGATTGATGATTGAGGCACTGAGTTTGGTCAAGACTTATTTTTTATAGCCTAAGGGCCAAAACCAAGTGGCCCATCTACTACACATTCTACATCATTATTATTGAAGTCAAAATATAATATTAATAAAGTATAGAGGCATCATTGCAATAATAGGAAATAAGGGATACCCGCCTTTTAAAATCCCCTTTTATTGTATTTCTTTTCTCCTTCCCTTCTTCTTCTTCTTTCTCCTTGAAATTCCACCGCCACCGTTGCAATCACAGCCCAATCAATCCAACCCTAATTTCCATCTAACCCTAATTTCCAACGGGGATTTGTTTCCCAAGTCAAAATGTCGCGACGAACAATTCCGATCCTTAAGCAGGTCCTCTCCGGCGTCCGACAAACAACCACGACCCGATCTGTAACCTACATGCCTCGACCCGGCGATGGCACCCCACGCGCGGTCACCCTTATACCCGGAGACGGCGTCGGACCACTCGTCACGGGCGCGGTGGTGCAGGTTATGGAGGCTATGCACGCGCCTGTCTTCTTCGAGAAATACGATGTCTATGGTGATATGAAGGCCGTCCCTCAGGAGGTGATCGATTCGATTAAGAAGAATAAGGTTTGTCTCAAGGGCGGGCTGAAAACACCCATGGGAGGAGGTGTGAGCTCGCTGAATGTGATGTTGAGGAAGGAGCTCGATCTTTATGCATCCCTCGTTCATTGCTTTAACCTCCAAGGACTCCCCACTCGCCACGATAACGTTGATATTGTTGTGATTCGGGAGAATACCGAGGGCGAATACTCTGGCCTCGAGCACGAGGTTGTTCCTGGAGTTGTAGAAAGCCTCAAGGTGTTTTGTATTTCGTTTTATATTTATGTTTTCTTTTGCTATGTGCTAGTGTTGATTTCTAGATTTCTTATGTTTTTTATTTATGTTTTGGTTTTTTAGAGTGCATTTATACAAGTATTAGATGCATTCCTCTATTGTGTGATGCAAGATGTTAACAGCGGAATTGATGGGAGCTGCAGAAACATTGGAAATGCTTACATTTATCCCCTTTCATATTTTTGCTTCCCTCTTACTTCGTAAACTAAATGAACATTCAATAACATGTTTTTATATGTTGTTTCATACTCTTGCATGTACTTGTGAAAGTAGATAGATGCATTAGAACAAATATTCAAGTATGTCATCCCTCCTGATCCTATCCAATTGTATAAGGTTGGAGATGAATAATATCTTATTGGTGAATTCTGCTTATGTTTTTATTTGAAAACCTCTATGGTTCTCAACCTTACACTGTTGCTGCCTTTGAAACCTTCATCTTTTTTTTTTCCTTTTAATCCGTACTTAGACTATCAGAGACTTCTATGGTGATTATGTTCTAATGTATCCCATTTTTTGATAGGTTATAACAAAGTTCTGTTCTGAACGAATTGCAAAATATGCTTTTGAGTATGCCTATCTCAACAACCGGAAGAAGGTGACTGCTGTGCATAAAGCAAATATTATGAAGCTTGCAGATGGTTTATTTTTAGAATCATGTCGTGAAATTGCTAGCAAGTACCCCAGTATCCAGTACAATGAGATGATCGTGGATAACTGCTCGATGCAACTTGTTTCTAAGCCAGAACAGTTTGATGTTATGGTAAGGGACCAAAGTAGCTTGTGTTTTTCATTTTATGGGCACTGTATTAATTTTCTGTCTTCCTGATGGTAATATAACCTTCTTGTTGTCACACTAATGATGTAGAGGATAAAAAACATTAACTCCTATTATTAGGATTTAGGACTGGAAAAGATGAGATCTTTTTTCTTGCAAAATGAGGAAATTTTCTCTATCCTTCATTTATGGCTCAAAAGTTCCACATATGATTAAGTGAGGATTAAGTATTATCTGAAAGTCTTTAGGCACATTATACTGAGATGCTTCCAAATAGAAGTTGGTCCTTTGTATTGATTGCTTCAGCTTCTATCCTTGGCAACCAATTCGTGGAGCTATAGGTATATCGATGATATGATGAAGCACAAAACAGCCAATCCATGCCCATTATTCATTATCAATCAAACAAAGATCCCATCTACTTTATCATCATATTTGATGTTTCCCCTACAGTTCTCTTATGTAAGTACTGGCCATGAATCTTTGTACCGTGATCATCTGTTTCCTTAGTTTCTCTGTTAAATAAAAAGAATGAATATTTGGGTTAACCATACAAATCAAATGAAGGCTTCATAAATGCTATAAGACTTCCTTGCCTCTCTAATTTGTTTTTTTTTTTTTTTTTGGGCACGATCCTATCGGTTTTGTCCATTAAGTTTCTTTTCCTTGTGCCTACTTAATTTGCAGGTGACGCCCAATCTTTATGGGAATCTGGTTGCAAATACAGCTGCTGGTATTGCTGGGGGAACTGGTGTCATGCCTGGAGGTATATATATCGTCAATAGTTTTTACAATTTCTTCTTTTTTTCCATTTGTGGATATGAAAGAGACTATGTCGCCTCATCTCATAAGTTGAGATACCATTTTCATAACTCTCATTTTTTTCAATTACGTCATATTTTGATGCTCATATCTTCTGACTTTCAGGGAATGTGGGGGCTGATCATGCCATTTTCGAGCAAGGTGCTTCTGCTGGTAATGTAGGAAATGAGAAATTACTGGAGCAAAAGACAGCAAATCCAGTGGCTTTGCTTCTTTCTTCAGCTATGATGCTCAGACACTTGCAATTTCCTTCGTTTGCGGATCGACTAGAAACTGCGGTAAAACGTGTCATAGCAGATGGTAAATACCGAACAAAAGATCTCGGTGGAGAAAGTACAACCCAAGAAGTTGTGGATGCTGTCATTGCAAATCTTGACTGAGATTCTGTGTGATTTCTGGACGACATAGTACATTTGAAAGCATCCTTTTTGTAATGATTCTTTATTTCACCAGTTGATTTTTGTGCCGACCACGGAATACTATATCCTAGGTCAAATAATGATGGTGAGTCTTCTCACTTACGGTACAGTAGAATAAGAATCAAGGAAAATTTGGAGTTCATTGGAAGACTTTGGTTTTGTGTAATGTCCAAAATTTGGATTTGCATACTGATGCCATTCATTTTTTTTTTTAATTTATGATGAATTTGTCAGACAGTTTCTGGAACTTATGAATTGAAAATAGACAGGACACTTCTGACTGGTATCCTTGGTTTTTGTTGCTTGTCAATACACATCATCATAACTGCACTACCTTAATCAAGTTAGCTTTGCATATAAAATAGTAACGGCTTCGGTTTTTTTTTTTTCACATCATCATGTCTTCGCTGCAACACACCAAAAACATCAATTTGGTTTTCCAATTATTTTTCTGAAATACCTTTTCTTGATTCGATGTAATAGTATTTTTCCCCCCAAAATATAAACAACCATTATGCTTATTTTCTTCAAATTCAAAAGGCCTGGAATGTTCAGCTTTAATATTGACAAAGTTGGTTGACAAACTAATTTGAAACACTTTATGAAATGTTTTCCTCCATAACGAGGTACAGAAATGAGGAAATGAAATGTTCTTCGTAGCAGTATGTTGAATTATGAAACAGCTAACAAACGAAGGACAATAAACAACAAAATATATTATTATTATTATTATGTATCTCAATCTATTACTCTTCCAGGCGACGTAGAACTGATTCCGCAAAGCTTTCTTGCCTGCAAATGCATACAATAGAGACATATGAGAGAGGTTGTATGTGGTCAATTACTCAATTTATTGGGTATGAGAATCGACTAATTAAACAGACAACTTGCCAGAAATTCTACCATCAAAGCATAGCCAAATGGGGAAGTTTGATACCAGAAAGTAAAATCAACAGATTCAAAGTTCAAACATCAAGAAAACAAAGATTTGGCAATTACTACAAAACATTAATCAAATTCTGCGCGGTACATGGAATATTATGATGGGAAAACGAAAAAGATCGGGCAGACAAAAAGCTTACTTGCGTTCACGATGCTTTGGACTGGGGCGAGAGTACTTCAAATACCCATCCCATGGCACCTTCTTAAGACCTGCTCGCACAGAAATAATGTCCCTCACCCTGAAAGAAACATCACATTGAGTGCTCCTTTTATTTTAGTTTTTAAAAAAAAAGTCCATTTCCAAATTTGGTTAAGTTAGGAACACCCACTAGCATTCATGTATTGACAAAACGGTAAATACCTCTCAGCAAATTCGATTGCAGTTTCCCCAGGTTTCAGATTCTGAGGCTCCAAGTACCAAACATCACAAACAACAGCCCATGATGTCATAAGCTGCAACAAATGTGTTGTGAAGGATTGCCTGCAAACAAGGTTTTAAGCATGACTTTTAATGGGTCCTTGACAGATGAAAAGAGTTTTTCTTGGCACCGATTTGCAAGGTACATTTTCATTAACCCACAAAACAAAGCAATCAACAGAAGAATATTCCACAGAAACCAAGTTCAACCATATCAAAAGCACTTCAAAACGCTGCTGAGTAACCAAATTGGTATATATATTTATAGTGAAAATGGAACAAGTATTATCGGCATAGAAGCAGCACGATGACAAAACTTACTTTCGGCTGTTCCAGAAGGCATCGACAAAAATCTTGTTATACTTGATTGCAATTGGACATACGGTACAGCCAAGTTCAAATGCACCCTACTCACCATAGGAGAATAAGATAAGATAACAAAGCAAAATTGATCTGATAGAGAAAGGAAAAAAACCAACAATTACACAATCATCAAGCATCTACGTTTCAAAGTAATTTGCATAAATTAAATGTCCACTGTTACCAACTTCTCTACTGTAACATAAACTTTTACTAAAAAAAATTCTATTCAACATTGGATATGTTTAAGGAGAGTCCACTACTATGGTATGGTGCAATTAGCATACGCAAGGTCAAAATGTTCGTTGCCATATGAGAAAGGATGACATAACAGATTTGTCCATTGTCGGGAAACAAAACTCACAAATTTTAACTTTACAATGCATGTGAATAAGCGGATACCTTCTTAAACATCACAGTGTAGTGGTTATTTACACAAGTTCCCTCAGGGAATATAAGAAGAGGATTATTATCAACCCCATGGACATGTTCTCGTAGCCTGGAAAAGATCACCAAAAAAAACAGAATAAAGAAAAGGATAGATTTGGAAAAACTTAAGCCATTTAGAGTAAAACATACTTTCTTGCAACAATTTCACGATCCTTGGACTCTGAGCGGTTGAACCAGATACATCCTAGACTTTCCAAAATAGTGCTCTGCAGTAATCCTTTACATGAATGACAAAATAAGATCAGCAAACCAAATACTAGAGAAACAAACAACTGGCACCTAAAGAAATTCCAATTCAATTATAGCCATCAAATTCCATCTAAAATTTCTCACTAGCACTGAATCAAACAAGATGATTAAACTTCCACAAAATATGAGCAAAAAACTTTTCTTTTCAAATCCTATTAATCCAATAATTACTTCATGAAAAAGAAATACAACCCCATTTAGTCCCATTGTTTCTGTCTCGTGAAGATAGAAAATAAGATAGCTTAACATTTAGAGTCCCTAAAAGAGAGAGATTTGTTCTATCAAAGTTTCTAAACAATAAATAATCTAAAGGAGTATGCATTCAAAATGACGATAATTCAGTCCAGAAATGCTTTAACAGCCACTGTTTGATGTATGGTACAAAAAGCACTCACCAACCCACCCAGGATGCTTCTGCATAATCACTGCAAATGCACACATTTGTTCCAAAACAATGAAATCAATCATGGATGTGTGATTAGCCACAAAAACCTGCACATTCCATTTGAGAAAAAGTAAATGTAAACGTACGAATATAGGAGCTATCCCAGTGAATTGTACATAAAACTAAATTGTTATAACCCATACACACAGTCCAACCTGCTTAGGCCGCATGCTGGGACGTGGACCGTGGTACTTGACAACCCCAGTCCATGATGCAACGAAAAAACTGCAAATCAACTCCACTAGACCTCTCTGATGAGAAAATAAACAATATCAGACAGTCACAAAAGGCAGCCTATGGCATGCATGATTTATCTTCTGCAGAGAACAACTAATTAGTAATAACACCCACAACTAACAATTTCATATTTCTCTCATAAGGGCAGTACATACTCTCCATATTCAATCCTTTTTTTTCCTCAAATATGAATTCTAATCTCTATCCAGCTACCTGGAGTAACTTTTCTCAGTGAGTCATGTTGCCTAGATCCATATTGGAAAATGAAGCTACTCTCTCCACAAATCATAAGTTACTAAGAAAATACTAACGAATAGAAGGCAAATGAATGATGAGGCTTACATCCAAAGAAAGGGAGAAGCATATATCTTTTTCATGAAAATAATAATACAATAAATTGGGTTGAAGGAGAAAGTTAAGCAATCATACCTCTAATTTCTTTCTCAGTTTGTCATGCCCTTTTAACAGGAAATGCACAGGAAAATAGCATGAGAGAAATACGATCCATCCTATTGTCAATACTATTACCCTGAATTTGAACTGAAATGAGTCAATATTTGTATGGAAGGCATAAGTGGCAATGCTAGATTTAAATTACTTCCACCAGTAGATTCCTGAGAAATCCAAGATTCTCCCCTTGATTCATAGTTTGTACCTTTAGGTTTAGGGAGCTCAAAGAAATGTTAGACTTTCGGCAGCTCTATTTTTCCCAGGGGATGAAGTAACTCTAAGCGCTTGACAAATCTTGGCGGACCTTAAAAAAACATGGGTATGCAAACACACAAGCAGCGGTTTTCACAATATTCCAGAAAACCCTATAACCTAAATTCTTAAATTCAGAGAATGAACTACTGGCACCAAATAAAAATGGAATAAACACAGACCAATTGATGCTTTTCAGCTGAGAGTAGAAAGCACAAAGATACAACTAAAGTTCTTATTATACACGAGCTATTGATTAAGAGCCTTTATGAGTCATATCATGCACCCACAAGTCACAGGCAAAAAAAATTCTGCATATATTGTAGAGATTTTAGAAGAGGGGAAAATTAATGGCTGCATAATTAGAAAAAAAAAAAAAAAAAAAGGGCAAGAAGCTGTTGATCCTTGACGAAAGGAGGACTATTCGGGTCTATCCTCTCTGAATAAAGCCAAAAGATGCATAATAGTTTCTATCTGTAAAACTATCCATGTATGCATTGGACAAAAACCGACCTTAATGGGAAAAGAAACCCATATCTGACAACAACACCCAAGCACCACAAAGGAAACAAGTATATGTTCCAGTTCCAGGGTTCTGGAGGATTTGACTTGAAGCATCTTGTGAAAGAGTCCTGCCATGCAGCAAGAATGAGAAAGAGAAGAATAAAATTACAAGGACATTTTCTTCAAGGGCCCCAGCGCCAACACTGAAAAATACCACTAAACCACAGGGAATGAGAATATGGAATTGTAAAGATGCAACAAGAGAGTATATTACTACACTAGTAGAAAACAAATTAAGAGATATGCATACACACCACAAACAAAATTTCAGAGTTAGTCTAACATATGTGTGTGCATAAATTTCAAGTTTAGGAAAGCAATTCACCGAAAATCAAACTATTATAATTCTTCAAGTTTATAATTTCTATTCATGCGACAAAAAAAAAAAAAAGACATAAAATTGGTTTAATATGAATAACAAAATTGCTTGCCCTAATTCACTATATCTGCATTCGCACTGTAACGATCCTAGAGGCAGAAATGACATCCTCAAATTGAAATCAGACACAAAACATCAAAAATCGATTGAGGTGGGGGGTGGATGGGGACTTACATCAACAATTGCACCAGCTGCCTCAGTTAGAGTCGGTGAAATATCGAGCAAATCATGCCTAATAACCAAAAAAAATTACAGCTCCTCAAACGCTTAAACAAAATTAGACATGCAGATTGATAGAGGAATGGAAAAGGGGAAAAAAATTACAGGCGGAGCTGGCCGTGAGGCTCTTGAATGGATCCGGAAGGAAGATAGTCTTCGATATTGGGGCGATCGAAATCCAATTCAGAGCTCGATGTGTTTAGCTTACTCATCTTCCTTTTACCTACCTAGTGTGAAGCTAAAACATACGCTGAGTGTGTGTGATGTGCGTGTGATTGTTTTGCCCTCCTCTGTTCAACTCCTCGTATATTCGTATCACCACGCGCGCACATTAAGAAAGAGGAGAGAGAGAGAGAGAGAGAGTGCGTGTGTGTGTGTGTGTTTGCGTTGGTTGGTTCAAGAAACTATTAAGTCCCACCCAATCCAAAGCCACGTGGTTTTTGGCTCTGATTTCAGCCTGAAACGTTAATAAAAGCGTAATTCTTCAAAATTGGAACGAAATGTTTGAGTTCTTCAACATTTTCATTTTCCTGGACAAACTTTTTTTATATAATTTTGATACAAAATATTTTCATAATTCCTTCAAAAAGAAAGTTTATTCATAATAAAATTGGATCCAATAGAATAAAAAGGAATCAAAATGTTAAAAAGAAGGCTACGATCAAATTGGCACTCAGTTGGGCCTTGTCCGGAGCCCAGAAATAATAAAGACATTCATGGTGGGGTCTGGCCCATAAGAATTAATAACCATGAACTAGTAATATTTAGGGGTGCAAGTTGGAACGAATTTTCCAATTTCCACCGGTTCCGATCTGAAAAGTTCCGATTGTGGAACAACTTTTTTCATTCCGACTTCCGAAATTCCGATTTCCGAAATTTTTCGATTTTTTTGGATTGAAATTGGAATTATATAAAATAAATTTGGAAATTTGGAATTTCTGATTTCCGATCCGATTTAATTCCTAAATAATTCAGAAAAATTCTAATTTTTTTTCTGAAATACACCTATAAATAGTATATATTATATAATACTGTATTTTCCAAAAAATACACCTATAAGTTTTGTTTTAGGATTTTGACATAATGAATTGTTGATAGGAGTTTTATTGGATATTATGTTGTGTTTATTTTTATTTATTTTTTGAACTGAAATTTAGTAGTTATTAGTTTTACTTTTATCGACGTGGATGCTCTTATTTTCGAAAAATTCGGCTAAGTTTTGAAATTTTAAAGCTTATGTGATTTTCGATTTTTTTCCGAAATTCCGAAATTTTCGGGCCTTTTGGAATTGGAATGAATTTTTAGATTCTGAAAATTTTGGAATTGGAATTGATTTTGTACTTCCGAATTTTTTTTAAAATTTTCCGAAAAGGCTAATTCCGATCCAATCCATCCGACTTTCACCCCTAGTAATGTTGATTCTTGCTAAACTTTTATTTAAATTTTTGTTCTAAAATAACATATGTAGGTCTAACTAGCTCTTTGGTTTGGTGATTGTGAGATAATATTACATGAAATCAAATAATTGGATACATTGAACCAGTTTAGTGAACTAAATGTCTAAATCTATTTAAATGGTACAATATACATATATTCATTCTCCAAAAAAGAAAACATATATCCTTAAATACAATAAGTAGGTGTAAAAGAGTAAGGAGTTGAATTTGAGTAGATGTACAATGTCTATTGAAGCGGTCTTAAGAGCAATTTATTCGGATGAGGATTTGACCAAAATAATATTATTATTAATAATGAATTAACAAACGAGTTCCAAACTTTGATTCGAATCAACCAACCAACTAACCATGATTAAGCTGCATTTTTCTGGGAGTGCGATACCACTTTCCCTTTAAACACATACATACATACGAAGACAATTCAAATCAACACTTATAATTATCTTGTTAGCTTATTGGCATGCACGTCTTTTTTCTCCTACTACTTGAACAATAATTCAAAATTTCATTAATAATAATAATATGTTTGACTCTCATTAATCAAACATAATTAATTAATTATCATGCACACAATGAAAAAGATCGTACGGAAAAACCCAATCTGCTGTAAAAGCAAACCCGCACAAAATGTTATTTTACCGTAGTTTATTTTTGATAAAACCTCTGGGTATTAATTTTACGATCAGTTATATATTGTGAGAATTAATTAGTAGTATGTCTTAAAGTGAAATAACCTTTAAATTCAACGTCAAAGTTATAAAAGTTTAAACTTAATTTTAATCCAATAACATATCCCCGGAAACGGATTTTCTAGTTAATGCTTTCTATATTAATTAATTAGTTAGTGGAGTAGTAATTACTATTTAAAAAAAAAGAGAGAGTAAAATGTAAGATATTTTTCCAAAATAATATAAAAAGTTAAAAGTAAATTTGTTTGAATATAATATTGAGATGAGATGAAAATTGAATCCTGAGGGTTAGTGGGGGATTATGAATAAAATTAATGAGAAAGAGAGAGTGGCGTTTAATTTGTTTAAAATCGGAAGAATAAATCAAATGTAATTAGGGAAATAAACATTGTCACTGTCATTAAACAGACACGATTAAGTACAATTGAAGATCTTAATTCCAGGTGAATTAAGCAGTACTACTGTATGTAGGTGTGTTTTGAGAACAAGTTGTTGTGCTGTTGCTGCTGTGTCTCTCTCTATATTTATTTACATATATATATATATATATATATATATATATATATATATATATATATATATATATATATATATATATAGTTGTGTATCGTACGTTGTCGACATGTTCGCCGGAGTTTCTCTCTCCAGCTAATTCCCATCGTCCATCATACTAGTTTCTCTCTCTAAAAAGAAATGACGTCGAAGAATAAGAATAACAAGCACAGGGATGAACTGATCGGTCTGCAGATTTTAGAGGGTCTTATCTTCCGCCCCCGCCGCCACCGCCGCCAGAGTCACCGCCACCACCACCACCACCACCTCCTCCATCTCCTCTCCGCCGTCTGCGGTTGTTTGCTTCTCCTCTTCGCAGCTCTTTCATTTCTCTCTCCTCCGCCCATCACCACCGCCAACCACCAACAAGTGATGATCGGAGAAAGATCAATATCACGCCGCCGTCAACTCTGGACTTCAAATCAATCCAATTTATTTCACGGCTGCAGCAAACCAAGCGACACCTTTACATGTAACTACTCCATTATCTCCCATTCTTCTATCATTAAATATTCATAATTATCTATATATATAGATAACAATGCACATAGACAAAACCACTTAAATAATATAGGAAGATCGAAAAATCACTACTCTTTTCTCGTGTTAATTGGATATGTATATGATCAGGTACATGATTGTTCTGACACGATGTTATGAATCACATATTGCAGCTGCAGAAATAAATACAGAACCAAATAGATACTTGTTGATAGCAGCTAGTGGAGGCTTAAATCAACAAAGAACAGGGGTAATTACTAATTAACCCACCGTAATTAAATTAAATTAAATTAAATTTGCCGATCATCTTCTTAAGAGTAATTGTTCGATAAAACAGATAGTAGATGCCGTTGTTGCTGCCTATATCTTGAAAGCTACGTTAGTCGTGCCTAAGCTTGACCAAGAATCTTTCTGGAAGGATCCCAGGTTTATTTGCTAATCATCATTAGTGTATAAGTATATAAACCGTAATCAAGATCAAGATCATATCATGTTATTAAAATTCCTAAATTTCATTCAACTCATTTGAATTAATTTGCAGTAATTTCTCAGAGATATTTGATGTGGACTGGTTTATGACGTTCATGTCGAAAGATGTGAAGATTATAAAAGAGCTCCCTCAAAACGCAACGAAAGTATTAAGCACTCGTGTACCAAGGAAATGCAATCCGAAATGCTACGAGACTCGTGTTCTTCCCATCTTTAATAAGAAACATGTATGTGTTATGTTTCTGATTATATTATTTCTAACGGAGAATTAATCTGTACAAATATCATGTTATAGTTATAGGATAGTTTGAAATTAAATGCACTGTGCGTTTTCGTTATGCGCAGGCTGTTGAGCTTACAAAGTTCGATTACAGGCTGTCTAATTTGCTCGAAGACGATTTGCAGAAACTGCGATGCAGAGTTAACTACCATGGTTTGAGGTTTAATGATCCGATTCGTGATATGGGTCGTAAATTAGTTGAGAGAATGAGAATCAAAAGCAAGCATTTTATTGCACTGCATTTAAGGTTTCAACTTTTTATTTTGCTCAAAATTTGACAATCGATTCATGCGTAAAAGTTGATTCTTGTTTCTGAGAAAGAATAGTTTTATTGAAAAAAAAAAAAAAAAAACAGATACGAACCGGATATGCTGGCCTTTTCTGGATGCTACTATGGTGGAGGAGAGAAAGAAACGAAAGAACTAAGTGCAATACGTAAGAGGTGGAAAACTTTACACGTGAGTCGCACATAGTTACATACAAAAAAGTAACATGAAATCCCAATTTCTTGATTAACATATTTCTACTTGTCTGAATTGGGTTTTTTTTTTGTTTTTCAGACAAAGGATCCAGAGAGGGAAAGAAGGCACGGGAAATGCCCGTTGAGCCCCGAAGAAGTTGGGGTAATGCTGAGAGCATTGGGATTTGGGGAAGAAATTCATATATATGTAGCATCGGGTGAAATATATGGAGGTGAAGAAGCACTTGCACCACTTAAATCCCTTTTCCCAAATATCCATACTAAAGAGAGTATTGCCATTAAAGAAGAGCTAGCACAATTTTCGCCATATTCATCTCGTATGGCTGCATTGGACTTCATCGTTTGCGATGAAAGTGACGTTTTTGTCACCAATAACAACGGGAATATGGCCAAGATACTCTCTGGAAGAAGGTATGTATGTATTAATACATGCATGTTTAAATACTAAATTGGGAAGATTTAAAATGTTGATATTGAGTACTAGTTGTGCTTGTTGTTATTAATATATTACAGGAGATACTTTGGTCACAAACCAACAATCCGACCGAACACAAAGAAACTACAAAAGTTGTTCCTTAACCGAGACAATACAACATGGGAAGAATTTTCATCACATGTGAGGGAATTCCAAACGGGGTTCATGGGTGAACCATTAACAAACGAGGTAAATAATACTAAGAAGGGCGAGTTTCACGAAAATCCTTGGTCTTGCATATGTGAAAATTCAGAAAGAAGAACAAGTAGAAGTAGTAGTCGTAGTAGTAAAGAAGATGTAGATATAAGTAACGATGAGGTGTTGTCTGAATACGAGACAGATTTATCAGAAACAGAATATCCAGACGATGAAAATGGAATTCTGCAGGGGAGATTCTAGTGTATATATATACACACATACCTATACATATACATGATTGGTCTTCAATCTGCTCAAACTAACACATTCTTCATCATCGATCTGCTTAACAATTTTGTCGGTTTTTTGTATGATTGTTCTTTTTTTTTTTCTTCCTGAATACGCCCTCAATTGTTGTTGCCAAATGAGAGTTGATTTCTTAAAGGGGTTCAATATTTTTTTACCCCTAATTAAGATTATTGTTTGCTTCTGTATAATTCAACTTGTCAAAGAGTTTGTAAGTGCCACTAATATTCTTGAATTGTTTGAATGTTTCTGAGTTGCTATTTCGTTTTGTGGTATCTTGTTATTGAAATGCCAATTGATGTTAACATACATACATGCATAATTGCATATGAATCATTATTGTGGATCGGATTTTACGTTTTAAATAAATTAGAGTTGGCATCCATGAGAAAAATGTCATAAAATGCATTTTGCCATTTTCATTACTCACTGCTGTCCGAAATTTGTTCTTTTGTTAGATTACAGACTATTGACAACTGAATAAAAAGTTTTATTCGTATTTAAATGCCTTATTAGGGAATTATTTACTGGACTGATGAAAATCAAATTAAACTATTGGATATTCATTTTCGGATTGTTAAAAGGTTGCATGTAACATAATTAATGGGGCGAATTTGGCATAATGGGCCAAATCCAATGAGTTGGAATGGATCCTTGAGGGATCAAGGCCCAGTCTAAAGCCCAGGCGAACAGTCTACTCCGGAGATCATCTTTTCTTCCAAGATTTATCTCCGGTGTAAAAAGAGACAGTCTGTCGAGAAGAACTTGACCGTGGAGAATCTTGCGTGATTGATAATAAACCAAATTTTGACATATATTTTCATCCGATAAACTATGAAACTCGGCTCGAGCTCGAACTGGATTACAAAAAAAAATGATAAAATATGTACATTTAAATCAAGTTAGTCGAGCTTGATTCATGTTCGGCTTGATTGATTATCAAATCTAAGTTAAATACAACTGTGAAAGATCGATAACAAATCAAATAAGTTTGAAAAAAAATCGTTTGACTCAGATTCCATTTGTTCGTTTGAAACCAAAAAATATTCACCATTTTGTATATTTATGTTATTGAGAATTTAATGAGAAACTATTTGAAACAAATGTGATCTAATTCATGACACAATATGATAAAGTAAAACAATGCAAATCTATTTTATTTTTTCATGATTGTTTATTCAATTTAAAAGTTGCAAGTTATTTACAAGAAATTCCATTTAAATATTTTATATAATTTTGTGAAAAAATGGAGGGCCTGCGACGTGCGACCCAAACAGACCTTAGCAAATCCGATAATTTGCACTAGGGCAAAAAAAGCGAGTCCCTTTTCCCAAGTTTTCCCCCACACTCTGTTTTTCCTTCTGCTCCACCAGAAAGCTATCACACTATCGAGCGTTATAAAACCCTAAACCCTAAATTCTTCAATCATTTTCTTAAAATTTATTTAAAACTACAATTTCTGTAATTTGTCATGGCCAGCAGAATGCTCGCCAGAAATTTATATCAATCTAAACACCTCTTTCTTCGCCATCAGCAATTGTTAGCATCTCAACAGGTCTGTGTTTCCTCAATTTTTTTCGTGTTACTTTTTTTGTGTTTTTGAATATTCTTTCATGTGTTGATTGTTTCTGTGTAGGTCACGGGTAGATGGCCGATGCCGCAATTAGTTTCGCCCAACAGTCAATTGTTTAGACGTGAATTCAGTGTGTTCAATGAGTTCTCCAAGAAGATGAAAGGTGAAGTCGACAGGTATTCTTTTGTATGTTCAACTCGGGATTTTTTGGTTCCGTTTGCTTTCGGTTGGTACTAGGATTAGTTTGTGATTTCCTTGTGCGAATGTTATGATTTTATGTTGGTTTTCCTTACATTCATTCACCATGATGGATTTGCGAAGATAATTCTTCGCGGTCAGTTACTTGAAGCCTGACTCCCCAAAAAAGGGATAAGAAAAAAAAATAATGAAGACATTCTTCTTTCTTATGTTTGATTTATCAATAGTTAAGTGGTTATATTTTTTTCCCTGTGTGTTTATAAATGCCGTTACCGTTGTGGACTTATGACTAGCTCTATCATAGTGAATCGTGGTCGATCTTTTCAATTGAATGCAGTGCACATTTTTTTCTGGTATGATCGCCTTAAAGCTTTCTTTGAGCTGAGAAATTTTAATGTTCTGAAAAGTGGTGTTAATTGTGGTAATGCTTAAGTACTGAACAGTAGCTAGAAATCGAAAGTTATTCTTCATGTTGAAGTTATCTCTTTTCGATCCTTGATTCTTATATGAAAACTTCTTTCTGGTGGATAATCTTTCAAATACATTTATTTTCAATGTATTTTCAAGACAACATCCTGACTAATTTGTATGCAGTAACGAGGAACTTAAACAATCCATTAAGCAAATCAAGGAGAAAGCGGAGGAATTGAAAGGAGTAAAAGAGGATCTTAAGATTAGGTATTATTTTCTCAATATTTCATTTGTAGAGCACTTACTTAATTATGGAGAGGCTGAGACATACTGTTGTATGTCAAAGCTGGCAGACACTTCCATTGGGGACTCTGAGATGCTGAAATCGCGAAATGCAGAACGAAGCAGACAACTGAGAAGCTGTACAAGCATGTAGATGGTGCGTGGACAGAGGCTGAAGCCAAGGCGAAGAAGGTATAAATCCTCTAGTAGTCTGCAATGCATAGATGGTTTAAAAACATGTAATAATTTCTGTTAACTATTTCTTGGCAAAAAGTGTTTGTCCCAATTTCCTGGGGCTTGGACTTAAGAATTTTAGATATTTCTATATACACTGGTAGAGTTCTTGTGCTCAAGAAGATGGAGGAATTGGATAGTTAGTTACTCTTCTTGGTGATGAGAGGGTGGCTGCAAAGTTGGGTATTTGAATGTACAATGCAAATAAACTAAGAGTATGAGAAAGTAACTGTTGTAGGTTCGGTTTTCTTTATTACTGAAGGTGACTCTTGGGTTTTATTTTCTTTCCTGAAGGTTTATGCTGGTGTGGAAGAAAAAATTTCGGCTGCTAAAGAGGAGGTTCGTAAAAGTTCTTTTCCAAGAGATAAAAGTAATGTGCTCTATTATTTCTATCGCAACATTGTTGACCGATGAATGTTAAGAACTCGTCAATTTGATTCAGGTCAAAGAAAGTTTTGGTATTAATCAAGAGTCTACTGGAAGGAATGGTACATCAGATAGTCATGGCACAAATGACAAAAATGAAAGCAAGTCTGCATTTGATGAAGAAAAGAAGCATGGGAAACAGCAATCTGAATCTAGTGATCATGCCCAAACACCATTTGACAAGCTCAAGTTTGGTGTTTCTTACATCTCTCCGAAGGTCTCGTTAGCATTCCAGAAATTGAAGGAAGCAAAACCCATTGACTTGGTGAAGAAGGGCTATGACATTGTGAAAGATGAATTAAAAGGTAATCCAAACAGGAAAAAACACCTTGAGTATGATAATTCTTCGGCTGCTCCCTCGCCAAACATTGAAAGAAGTACGCGCACTGATATCGTTATTGTACCTACAAAGCAGTCTCGATGGAGTAAGAAATGGGAGGCTTTGAAGAGTAAGGTAATATGATCTTTGCATCCAATCTTTCTTCTCTTAGCTAATTGTAGTTTTTCTTCCCACCCTTGTACCTGATATTATTGTCTTGTGCCTCAGATGCAAGGAAATCCTATATTCAAACGTGTTAGTGGGTTTAGTGAGCCTGTCATTGAGAAGAGCCAAGAGGTATTTGGAATATAAATTCTATCTCGTAATTTACATATTGCTGCTTTAAAAATATATGTTGCTGCACATTTGTTCTAACTTAAACAGCTCCATGCACTTTATGTTATTCATCCCGTATTGCAGGTATAATATGTTATGAATGAACAATGATTCTTCTCCTTGATATTGAATAGCCATGACTTATTTAGGTTACGAGCATCTCAGGGTGATTTCGTCTTTCTTGTAAACCAATTCTGGGTTGCTGATACATGAATATGCTACAATGCTAATACTTGCAATTAGACGATGTCAGATCCATCTTCCTAGGCATACTTTTTTGTTATTGTACTTCCATGACATCTCTGTCTATTAGACTTTTCTACCTGTACTTGCTGTTAGCTCTCAAGGCTTAGTTAGGTTAGGAGGATCCTGATATGTCCTTTCTCATATATTATGTATACTATTTTGTAAGAGAGACATTATTGCTTGAATTGTCTAGTCCATGTGAAGATAAGATAATTTTGTCATAGGTTTTATCTTTTTGCCTGGTCTGCAGATTGCAGAAGATATGCGGGAGAGATGGGAGACCAGTGATCATCCAGTTGTTCACAAAATTCAAGAGTACGTTGGTATCCTCTCTCTGTCTAATCGATATTACAATGCTAATAAATGGAGACTGCAAAAGTAATAATCCTCATTTACTATGTTACAGTATCAGTGAAACTGTCCTTGGAGAATCAGATGCTGCCATGTCATTTAAAGAAATTCGTCGCAGAGATCCGTAAGAATTACATGTCCTAATTTCATCCTTGTAAAACAACGATGCTTCAAGTATTACATATTTGATATAAAATTTGGCTTGTGTAGGACCTTCTCTTTACCAGAATTTCTAGCTGAGGTTCAAGAGGTGGTTAAACCAGTTCTCAATGCTTATTCCAAAGTAAGTCTTCAACTTTATTGTACTACGGTGGATAACTTGATGCATAAGTAGCTGGTCAATGGGTCAGATGTTGTGAAACTTGTAGTTATTCCGTGGATGTCCTTGTGTCATTCTTCTTTCTGGGCTCCTGGAGTCTTTAACAAACAAAATTATATTTTTAGATTTTTTTATTTCCAGAAAGTGTCTACTTGAGTATAGTTTTTTGTTGCCGCTATTAGAGGGTATCATGCCATCAGATATTTTTTCTTCTGTACCATGATGCATTTTATGTGTCTTCTGTCTTCAGGGAGATACTGCAGTTCTAGAGAAGTACTGTAGCCCTAATGTAATTGAGCGATGTAAAGCAGAGCGTAATGCTTATGAAACCCAAGGGATCTTCTTTGATAACAAGGTAAGTTTTCATAATTATATTGCTTTCTTTTCATGTGCAGGCACTGTAATCTTCTTTCACATTTTGTTGACTTCCGGTAGCTCAAAAGCTGTGCATTTATCACTTTTTACTTGCACGGTCCTTGTAATAGACTTTCTTTGAAGAAATATAAGCCGTAATGTTTTAAGGTCGAGGGAAACCATAATTCAAAATATGCATTAATTCTTTCAATTCAAGTAAGTGATTAGACTGCTTGGATTCTATTTAGCTCACAAGCTTAGACAGCCTTTATTATGTGCAGTCCTTTTTGCTTTTCCACATTTATATGTTTTTGGTTGTTTTGTGTATGGCACTCTCTCCTTCTGGGCTGGTGTTTTCAGTTCTTAGATTATTTTGGCTTACGAAGAGTAGAGAACATTCCCAAATGGTTGTACGTGAGTTGTACTGTAAGTAACTGTGAGGAAAGTTTATGTAATTCACTATATGACTGGTTCGCGCCCCTAGTGAGTAGCTAAGCGTTTTTCCAACTACAAAATCATTAAGATGGCTTGAATTGATTGGAATTACTTAAGATCCATAAGGTTTCTATTCAGTTGTGTAACTGATTTACTTCGGTGGCGGCTTTCACAAAGTTTGTTCTTTAAACTAGCAATCAGTTTCATTTGAGGTAGTGCTTGTTTGGTGTATATACTCGTTACTAAATTTACTCGACTGTAGTGAAATATTTTTTTTGTCCTTTGGTGCAGATTTTACATATATCAGAAGCCGAAGTTAAAGAGACCAAAATGATGGGAGAAACTCCCATAATCATTGTTAATGTAAGGACTCGCCTTTTTGCTATCTTTATATTCCCTTTCCCCTATCAAATAAAGTAAAAAGTAAAACACGGATAATTTTTATTTAATCCTCGGATTTGTTTTAGTATTTATTATCTTTAAACCCTTGTAAAAATCAGTTTGTGCCTCTTCCCTATCAAGTATTCTACGTTTGTATAAATAATTATAGAAACAACAAAACCTCATGCACAAACAAGCTCTTACACAACAATGTCATTAATTGACACCATCTTCCTTGAAATTTATCACAGTTCCAGACACAGCAAATATACAGCATACGAGATAAACTCGGCTCAATAACAGAAGGTGGCCAGGTAAGCAAGCAAACTGCTTTTCCATACTTTTGAGACTTCTGTTTAAAAAAAGAAGAGGACATATTCTGAATTGTTCATCTCGTATTACGTTTGCAATCTTCTGTTACGTTGGTCTAATTAAAAACTTGTGGGTGAGCAGGATACTATCCATACAGTGTATTATGCATGGGCAATGCAACAGTTAGATCCAGAAGAACTTGGAGAGGGTGCTCCTACTCACTCCATATGGAAGCTTAGAGAAATGCAGCAACTCGGTGTTCGTGCCCTGATTTGATTTTTTTTTTTTTTTGTTTTTTTACCCAATATGTTCAATCTATGATAATGTTTTACCAGATGAGGATTTTGTTGTGTCTAATATCTGGCAACTGAGGAAATTTCGAGCGCAATTTGTGTCAAACAAATTGGTGCAATTTTGCATTGTGGCCTGGAATGCAGGGTAATTAATAAACATGCATGGATCTCAGAATATCTATTGAATGATTCCAAGGTAATGTTTCAATGAGATTTGCAGTTCTTTTTTTTTTTTTAGCAGAAAATAAGTTTTATTGAATAGTGTAAACCGGTGGTTGGGCACATATGTTACTTGAAAACCGGCACGAGCATTGGACGTGCAAGACTTAGGGCTGTCAAGATTGAGTCTTGGCAGCTCGGCACAATATTGTAGGCAAGGTAGGAGTATATAATTAATTATTGGATGATAAAGAAGACACAGGACAAATGAGGATGTTGTACTGGATCCGCAAATCGGGTTATAAATCTGGATTGCATGCAGTGGGCGGGCGGGCGGGCCTACCTGAAACGGGCCGTCCATTTTGGATTTGTATCCTTTTACACTCATTGCCTCATCACTCTCCACTTTCATTTCAATTATTACCTCATCACACTCATCTACACCATCCATTGTTTTTTTTAGAGTATGTTAAAAAAGGGCAGTTGAATTTAAGTGATTAATTAATATATTGGGGAAATTATCTAATTATACTATATTTGAAGAGTTATATATAATTTGTCATGAATTTTCTTACAATTTGGAGATTCATTTACCATCGTAGGGTACGTACCCTCAACCAACAACATCATTGTACTGTTATCAATTATGAGAAACAGTACTCAAATAAATAATTAAAGATTAAAAATGATCTATTTTTTTAAAGAAAAAAAGAAAATTGACCAATTAAGAAGTCCCAAATTAAATAATATAATTGGGATCCCCTTTATTTTTGGCAGATATGTAAATTATATGTACTTGTATGTACACAATATTCACATGCATTTTTTAAGTACCATTAATTAGCCAAGTGTGTGTGCTGAATTTGATAATATTTATAAATTTGATATTATTGCGTAAAAAAGGGCAAACCGGGACACACTGCATATATGCATTGTTTTTCTACACCAGGAATATAATATAATATATATATTACTATATCGCACACTTGAATAAAGTATAAACTGTGAATGAGAATAAAACTAAAAATTGTGGTATGTTTGCATGGGAATCAATCAATGACCCTTTGCCCTTTTAATTTGCTACTGAACTTGCATGAAAATATCTCATCATTCTTTATCTAAAGAAAATATAAATAAATAAAAAAAAATGTAATGCTAGCTAGCTACTTTAATTTATTCAACTTTCCCATATTCCTAAATGAACATTATGATTAAAAGTTGTGAGAATTGGATTGACAAGTAAAGCAGAAGATCCCTCCCCTAAAGCTTCACATTATATTACTTTTTTTGGTCTTAAAGTTTGCAAAATTAATTTAAAAAAAAAAAAGAATATTCATTTAAAAATTGGTAAGATATGGATATTCTCATTGATCCTTTAATTTGACTTCAAGTAATACTTTTTGTATTACTATATTATTATTATTCATATATTCTCGACTTTGATTACATACAGTCTTTCTTCCCATATAATTTCCACTTTACGACCAAATTAAAATAAAATGAGTTTTGCAAATTTGAATTGATTTATGTGTAGGTGAGTAATTGAGGCATGAATACTATTTATGGTGTATTTGATTGCCAAATCTTCGTCTTATTAATGCTGAATACTCCTTTCTTTTTAAAAAAATTATCAAATTTCACCTATTATTACTGCATCAATTTTTCTTGCCACCAACCTTCCACCTGTATTATTAATCACTTGAAATATAATTTTAAACATAGTTTGATTGATATCGAATATAAAATGAAATAGCATATATATATATATATATATATATATAAAGTCAAACACAGTAGAGTTGTAAATCAAAATTAGTGAAATCATATATATTAATAGTATTAGTGGTTCCGCAGAAATAAAAAAAAATAGTAAGAAAAAGGTCAAGGTCAAACATCATAATTTAGTTGCGAAGGAAAAATCAGAGAAAGCAATATGGTGCTATACAAGAGTCAAACCCTACCACTACCCTCATTTTTAGTATTATTACAGTTTACTGTTTGTTTCTTTTACTACACACACACACACACACACAGAAAAGAAAAGAATGATCTTCCTTCCTTCCTTCCTTCCTTTTTTCCAACAACACATACATATTTGATATGTAATAACACCACTCTTTCTCTCTCCTCTCTCTCTCTCTCTTCTCTCTCTCTCTATGCTGCTATCCGACGACTGTGCGCCTGCTGTCAAAAACCCATAACATAAAAACAAAAAAATAAAGAAAAGAGAAGATTCCCTCTTCTCCACCATCTTCCTTTTCGCCCTTTTCCCCAAACCCTCATATTCCTTTTTTCCACCTCCACCATGCCTTAACCCATATCAATTTCCGATGGGTTGCGCCACCTCCAAGCTCGACGACTTACCCGCCGTCGCTCTCTGCCGCGACCGCTGCTCTTTTCTCGATGAAGCCGTACGGCACCGTTTCGCCTTCGCCGAAGCCCATGCTGCTTATCTTCTCTCTCTCAAGTCCGTCGGCGTTTCCTTGGACCGCTTTTTCAACCAAGATCTCGACCCTTCTTCATCCCTCAACCTCCCCCCGCCGCAGGGGAAGGGGGCTTCCTCTCCGCCCAAAATTCAGCACCATCTCCACTCCCACTCCAACTCCGGTTCTCATCTCCACTTTCATTCCGGCTCCGACGACGACGACTCCGGTTCTGATTCCTTGCCTCATCATCATGACGACAGCTCGCCGGTTCATCACCAGCACCCCTACGGCGGCGGCTACATGCCTGATTACGGGAATCCCAATCTCAATTTCCCTGGCGGCGGCGGCGGAGGGGGGTTTATGAATATGAGTTATATGAAGAAACAAACGACGGCGTCTGTAGTGTACACACAACGGCCTATGAGTCTAGAAACCATGCATATGGGTGAATCTTCCGCTTCCTCTTCTTCCTATTATCCTAATTATCCCAATTACCTCACTAACACTAATCAGAATAACGGTTATCAAAGCTACGGTGCCGGAGGTGGATATGGTTCTTCTTATCCACCACCACCGGCGGTCGTGTCAAGTTCGAAACTGCCTCCAGCTCCGCCCTCACCTCCAAGAAGCTCCACGTGGGAGTTTCTAAACCCATTCGAGACCTTTGAGAAGTATTACCCTGCTTACACTCCAACCCAAGACTCGAGGGAGGTGAGAGAGGAAGAAGGTATACCCGATTTGGAGGATGATGGCGGCAACGAGGTGGTGAAAAAAGAATTTCACGGCGATCGGAAGCTTATGGATGGTGGTGGAAGAAGCAGCCACTCAAAGGCGGCAGCATCCGAAGAGGTTGCTGAGGTGGCAAAAAATGATTCTGAATTGCAGCACATGGTGTATAAGAATGTGGTGGATGTTGAGGAGAGGCCGAAAGAGCGTGGATTTAAGGCCCGTGGTGGATTAAAGGGAGATATTGAAGTTGTGAAAGAGATTCAAGTTCAATTCGACCGCGCTTCGGAATCTGGAACCGAGCTTGCTAAGTTTCTTGAAGTTGGGAAACTTCCATATAAATGGAAACACAGCAGCCATCATGGTAAAGATTTGATTTTTATTTTTTTTAAACATTAGTCATTACCATCAAGATTTGTTCTTTATGTTGTAGTTTTCCACCAATTGTCTGTAAGAATTAATTAATTCATGGTCCCATCTTTTCGGATGTTTTGAATGATTGAGTTAGTATATACTTTCTCTGTAAGATTAAGAGTTCTTTTCTTTTTTTAATGATTGAACTTTATGGTATCTTGTGGCAGTTCCTTCAAAGATATTCCATTTGCCTTGGATATCTAAAAGCTCCGGTAATGGTGATCATGTCATCTTAGATGTCGATTACGATGTTGAGTTGCGGTCTAAAAATCTTTCTTCCACTCTACATAAGCTCTATCTCTGGGAGAAAAAACTGTACGAAGAAGTTAAGGTACAACTGTTAATTCCCTTTATTAACTTCACTATCCCATGTTTTTTTTTTCTTCCTGTCTATCTTTTTCTTCCTCTGTTTCAATATACTCTGTTTCTAAACCTATTGGAAAAGTGTAGTTGCTTCATTTTTTTCTACTTTATTTATGTGGTCCCGTATTCAAGAATTGAATTTGACGCTTATTCGGTCCTACACAACCTTCACATTTAATTCCTCACCCATATTTTCAGATGGAATATTGATGATTGATGTATTTCTTTGCAGTATGTTTCAACTGCCTTGCACGAAGTAGGGTATATTAACCTCAAAATTTTCTAATCGAAATTGTATTTTGCGGGAGTTTTTTTTTTCATACTTTCTATCAGTTTGCAACTCTACCAAAATTTTTAGAGCTCCGATTGCGTTTTACTGGCTTTCACTCGAGATTTCTTGTGTTTCGATCCAAGTGTTGGTATTCTTGATACTGAAAAGAAGGAATCCACGAATGTCCACATTTACGTATTGTAAACGTTTTATCGTCGTACAATTAAGCTTTAATTATCGTCTTTAGTTAAAGTTTTTTTATGCTCTTCCCATTTGCAGGCAGAGGAGAAAATGAGAGTTCTCCATGAAAGGAAGTCCAAAAAAATCAAGAATATGGATGAAAGGGGCGCCGAGGCTAACAAAGTCAACGCAACCAGAACATTAGTCAGAAGTCTTTCCACGAAAATGAATATCGCAATTCAAGTAGTCGATAAGATCTCAGTCAAGATAAATAACTTGAGGGATGACGAATTATGGCCACAGCTAAACGAATTCATTCAAGGGTATGTTAATACTCAATACCATATTGTCTCTTACGATTGTTAATATTACATACATTTCTTCATATTTTTTTTTTGGTTTCATTCAAGGTTAACTAGAATGTGGAAATCGATGCTCGAGTGCCATCACAATCAATGCCAAGCAATCGGAGAAGCCAAACTTTTAGACACAATAGCATTCCGAAAGCATTTTAGTGATTCCCATTTCGAAGCCACACGCCAGCTGGAACATGATCTCGTTAATTGGACACTAAAATTCTCGTATTGGATTTCCGCACAAAAGAGTTACGTACGAGCATTGAACAACTGGCTTATGAAGTGTCTTCTCTATGTTCCGGAAGAAACATCAGACGGGATAGTTCCATTCTCTCCTAGTAGAATCGGTGCTCCTCAAGTGTTTGTTGTCTGTAATCATTGGTCACAATCATTGGACAGAATGTCTGAAAAGGAAGCGGTCGATTCTATGAGAGGCTTTGCTTCGAATGTGCTTCAGCTGTGGGACCGGGATAAGGCGGAGATGCGTCAGAGAATGTTGTCGGAAAAAGACGAGAGAAAAATAAAGAGTTTGGATAAGGACGACCACAAGATGCAAAAGGAGATTCAGACATTAGACAAGAGAATGATAACGATGTCTTCTTCGGTTGTGTACCAGAGCGAGACAACAACAACTAAAGGAGGGAGTTTACAGGGTAGTCTTCAACGTGTTCTTGAAGAAATGGGGAAATTTACTGCTAATTCGCTGAAAGTTTACGAGGAGTTATTGCAAGTTATTGAAGAGGATCATCATATTAGACACGAGAATGACAAAGTTTCTTAGTTTTCGATTTTGTTTTACTTACCATTATTTTTTTTTTTTTTTGGTGATGAGATATCTATAGAGAATAATAAATAAAGGATGCTGCTTTATGACACAAGTCATGTAAGTTGTGATAGTAATGTTAGGCCATGTAAAGTTACTAGTGCACTAGTTTTTATGTACTTTGTTACATTGACATTTTTGTATACGAGCTTTTCGGCTGTTATTTTTAGGACTTGAGTGTCGCTCGTATGTTCGCTGGAAATACGAGTAGGATAAGATATATTTGAGATTGGAGCATTGACAATTGAGAACACCAAGACATGAGGAAAACAACGGAGTCGCCCTTTCTTGGAACGAGAGACAGTCGGTGACACTCGTGCATCAATTATAATATTTTGCAGGTGAGTTTGGAGATCGATGTGGTGGGAGAAACATGCATCAGACAGCATCGTACACCCAAATCAACATTAATTAAACTCATCTGTGATTCTCTTTGTCCCCTCTCTAACTCCATCATATATAAATAGGACTAATTGCCAAAGCCCTTGTCCTAAACAAACACACCACTAAAAAACAAAGATGATTTCTTCTAAAATCCTAAGCCACACTCGTTCTTCAAGCTTGCCTTCAAGATTATCACACCCCCTTACACCCCTATTCAACCACCATTTACATAAGCTCAAAAATGGAAATTCCACTTCCACCCCTTCTTCCTTATCATCCATCACCGAAAAACTATATATTCTCGAACATCTCTATAATTGTATCGACGATTTGCTGCTTTTGCCGCATACTCACAAAGTTTTCGCTGAAGAATGCAGCGAAAAATGGGTCGAAGAAATATTGGACGGATATCTCTGCCTCGTAGATGCTTGCTCCACAGCCAAAGATTCCGTCTTTCAAGCAAAAGAGTATGTATTAGATCTTCTCTCGTTTCTCAGGCGAAGACGAGATATGAGTTCAGAAAATCTTTCCGGGTTCTTGATTTCGAGAAAGTCGGCGAAGAAGATGATTAACAAGTCGTTGAAAAATATCAGCGGTTTGAAAAACAAGCCCTCTGTTTTGGCTTTGGAAAAAGATCAAGAAACCATTGCTATTATAAGCATGCTCAAGGAGGCTGAGATGGTTACTCTGGACGTGTTCGAGGCTTTGCTGTTGAGTATTTGTGGGCATTCTTCAATGACACGTGGCAGCAGGTGGTCCCTTGTTTCCAGGCTGATCAAATTTTCGGACAAGGAGGCACGGCAGGGCGTTGAATTTGCAGAGATGGATGCTAATTTGTACAAGGTTGTTACTGCTGGTTTTATGACATCATCAAAATGTGACAATGGCGGGAAGATCGATGAGCTACAGCAGCAGCTGAGAGATATTGATGCTAGCGTACGAGTCGTTGAAGAAACGCTCGAACGCTTGTTCAAACGTTTGATCAGAACAAGAGTTTCACTGCTCAACATGCACAGTCAGCACTAGAGTAGTTTGTAATAATAGGAACAAAAGTAATGTACATAATATCTTGTACACTTTTATTCAGATATGCTGTAAAATATTCATGTATATATATATATCAGTTCATACACCCTTGTTTTACTGTTTATTGCCTAAAGATCCTTAATTTTATCAACAAGTTACATAAACTCAAATTAAGACATAATGAAACAGCTTAAACTCATCTACAAGACAGCTTGTTTCCTTTCAGTTTCATTAAGGGGCCCTTGATCCAACTTAAACAATGATTTTCAGGTAATGACAACAATTAAGGCCACACGAGGGCATTTTTTGCGAGGTTTAATGATATAACAGAGCTGTCCAGATTCCGTTTGCCTGTTAAAAAGAGCACAATGACTGACCAAATCGTTAACCAGATTCGAAACTAATTATTAATCCTAAATCTCACACGCTTTCAATAATAAAAAGAGCTCTTCGTTTTTGTCGTTTGTGCTTGTAAACAATTTGAAAAATCCACTCGTGTGCACGGCTGTACAAGATTCGCAAATCCTACCCGACTCTATAATGCCATGAAAGAACATAATTTGTCTTCCTCTGTTATATATAATAAATACACTAATTAAAATCCCCCCACCCCCGCCTCGTGCATTACAGTTTAAATAATACATTACCATGTGCAGTTATGCCAATAATATTTAGCATGTTTAAATATTACACGATGGCTCGATAAATCTTGTTAGGCAAGACAGATAATAAATGACTCGTGCACAAACTAATAATGTGGTTAGACACAGCTCCATCGGTCCTAATGGTGGGAGACATTGCACAAACAACGCCATTATAATCGTAAATCCAGATCAATATCACATCACTCCTACACTAATCAAGATTCCCTTTGTCTCCTTCACCCTTGTATAAATACATACTTGCCTAATTCATAATCTTAGACATCACAAACAAAAAACTTTCTCAAATCACATACTTCTTCGGTTTTTTCGAAAACTAAGGAAAAAAAAAATGGCATTCTCTCCTTTGCAATCAAAAACCCTTCACCATAACCGCTCTCTTAGCTTGCCTTGTAAATCAGATCCATCCATATCTCATTTCAACGAAAAATTATCCACTCTAGTAAGAGATTCCGAGGCCTCGTTTTCTTCACTCAACAACAGACTAAACAACCTCAAAAACTTGTATACCGAAACCGACGATTTGCTTATGTTGCCTCACATTCAACAAGAATGTGAGGAGAAATGGGTTGACCAAATATTGGATGGCTATATTAGCCTCTTGGATGCGTGCACAACGGTTAAAGATCTCGTCTCAAACACGAAGGAAGATCTGCAAGAGCTACTTTCTTCTCTAAGGAGATCAAAGGATTCAGCTAATGGAGTTCGCTGTTATCTCAGCTCAAGAAGGAAGTCGAAGAAGATTATCCAAAAGTGTTTGAAAGATTTGAGGAGTAATTTCACAAGTATTATTAATGCATCCTCGGAGACAACGGGTGTTGCGTGTACCTTAAAAGAGACAGAGTTAGCCGCTGTTACTGTGTTTGAATCTTTGTTGTCTTATTTGAACGGGGCGAAGATTCAAGCAAAACGCAGTGGCTGGTCAATTGTATCGAAGATGATGCAATCCAAGAAAGTCGTGAGTGAAGACGAAGGAGCAAATGTGAATGAATTTGAGAAGATTGATGGTTTACTGCAAACGAGCGTAGAAAACGAACAAGTCGAGCAGATTACGACTCACTTAAAAGGGATGGATTCGAGCATTCAAAGTCTCGAACAAGAACTTGAATCCTTATTCAGACAGTTGATTCGAAGCAGAGTTTCCCTCCTCAATATTCTCAACCACTAGCCATTTTAAAATGAAAAATATACTTGTAAATTAAATTTCGTTTCATGGTTAACTAGAAAGCAGAATACAGAGGTTTGTTTCATCCACACGATTCGTCTGATTTAATGTACATCAGTTGATAAAAGAAAAATCATAACACAATCAACAAAATTATTAATTAATTAGGCCTAAACATACATCTTAAAAGTACAAGTCAGAAAAATCGGATTAGCACATCGGCAAGAAAGGGGTGAGATTATCCAACGTCCAGAAAGATTCTTGATCCCAATACTCCATACTTAATTTAGGCACGTGTAGCTCTGTTAAACCCTCTCTCTCATTAGGCAGCATTATCCCGTTATTATTATTACTAATCAACAACTCCGCCTTTTCTTCAAATTGATTGCAAAACGGGATCATCGATTCCATTGATGTGATTATCGGATACGTATTTATTTCATCTTCCATTTGTACCTCCCTCTTCTGCTCCAAAACCTTCAACGACGTCGCCTTTCTGTATATTTTACACAACACTATCTCCTGCATTATTAATATAATTACATGCAATAACAATATTAGCTAAAATAATGTAAGGAAAGAAGAAAAAATATGAATAATTACGATTATTAATTAATTACCTTGGCTAATTGGGAGGATGTATCGTCGGGTAAACGATACTCGTTCATGATCCAATCGGTTTTTCTTCCACATGGCGCTCTGCCTTCATAGAAGACAAGTGTTTTCCTCAGGCCTAATAACATCTTTTTCGGATCCGATAAACTTAGTATTTTCCGATCGGAACCGGTCGCCTTCCAGAATCCGTTTTCTGTAGTCCGGTTTGGCCTTCCTCCACTGCCACGTTTTCTCTCTCTAGGTACGAAAAAGTACCATTCTCTCTCTCCAATTTTAGCCATACCTGTTTCATTAAAGATTCATTCATCAATAACCAAACTACGGTTCTAAATTATAATGAAGTTATTGTTAATGTATGTATGTATATACCTGGTAAGTGAGTAGGGTGATGCTTGTAAACATCGAGAAAGCCGATAATATCGCCACGAAGTTTCTTACCGAAAACAAAGGCATGGAGGTAGAAGTTGAGAAGCTCTTCTTCGGTGGGGTGAAATCGAAAACCAGGCAATTGAAGATCATATGTTGTTGTTGATTCATGATCCATGGCTCGTTTGTATTTCATGTCAAGTACGTACGTGAAAACATATATGCAAGTTCAATCAATATATATATAATGCAACATAGTACATAACACTTTATTTATAATTTATATATTTAATTTGTAATGAGAAGAAGAAGAATGAGTGGAAAGTGTTAGACTCTTGAGTCTATAGAGTCTTATGAAATGTGAATGGTGGACAAAGACCAAGATTATTATTAACGCGCTTTGTCTTCGTTCATTTAATTTATTTCTATTGGCTTTTACTAAACTTTCAATCTAAGGGAATCAAATATTCCCTTCCATTGAGTTTCCATGAATATATATATGGCCAAATGGGAAATAGGCCCATGACAAAGGCACTTAATTAAAAGAGGGACATTCAACTTTTTTGTTTTTCAAATAAATCTAGCCCATTTAAATTTATTTGCAAATAAGGAAAATCCATTTATATATACCAAAATTACCCTCAATTCATTGAAATCCATTTCAATTCCAATTTCATGATTTACATCCAAATTTAGCCCAATTTCATCAATTAACCCATCTTAACCCTAATTTCAATTTTGATCCCAATTTTGACCCGCCACCACCGGAGACCGCCGGTCGCCGCCGTTGACTGGCGTTGACTTTTTGTTTTTTTTTTTTTTGAAAAACCTTTTTTTCCCGGATATTTTTTTTCCGGCCGGTCAACTGCCGTTGACCGCCGGGTCTTCGGCATTGACTTTTTTTTTTAATAATTTTGTTTTTTCTTAAAAATAATATTTTAATTAATATTAATGTCTTGGCTGCTAAATTACTGTCTCCGGCAGTTATTTAACTGTCGGACACAGTAATTTAACTGTTAATTGATTTTTTTTTTCTTCAAAAATATTTTAATTAATATTACTGTCTTTGCTACTAAATTACTGTCTCCAGCAGTTATTTAACTGTCGGAGAGAGTAATTTAACTGTTAATTGACTTTTTTTAAAAATATTTTAATTAATATTACTGTAATCGTTGCTAAATTACTGTCTCCAGCAGCTATTTAACTGTCGGAGACAGTAATTTAACTGTTAATTGACTTTTTTATTCTTAAAAAAAATATTTTTATTTAATATTACTGTATTCGTTGCTAAATTACTGTCTCCAGCAGTTATTTAACTGTCGGAGACAGTAATTTAACTGTTAATTGACTTTTTTTTTTTTTGAAATTCTTTTTCTTAAAAAAAATATTTTAATTAATATTACTGCCTTGGCTGCTAAATTACTGTCTCCAACAGTAATTTAACTGTCTTAAACAATAATATTAATAATATTACTGTTCGGGAAAATAATATTCATAATATTACTGTCCCAAACAGTAATATTACTGTCTGAGACAGTAATTTAGTAGCCAAGACAGTAATATTAATTAAAATATTTTTTTCTAAGAAAAAGAAAAAAAAAAAGTCAACGCCGGAGACCGACGGTCAACGGTGGTTGACCGGCCGGAAAAAAAATTCAGGAAAAAAAAATTTCAAAAAAAAAAAAAAAAAAAAGTCAACGCCGGAATCTGGCCGGAAAAAAAAATTCAGGAAAAAAATTATTTTCTGAAAAAAAAATATTTTGGGGGTTAATGTGATATATTTGTTTAAATCCGGGGTCAATGTGTAATATCAAGAAAGTTAGAGCATAATGGGTGGAAATGATAAGAATTATATTATGGAAGGTATTTTGGACTAAAGACATGGGGATGAGCTTAATTGAAAGATTGTTTTTTTTGTGGACCAAAATGCATTTAAATCCCATGTAATGAGCCTTTTTTGCCATTCGCGGACATCTATATATATATATATATAT